CCTCTTGCGGGAAAGCTTCGAGCGTGTCCTAAAAGCATTGGGCGCAGTTTGTCGGCGGGAGGAGAGGGGGGGGGCATTTGCTTTCTATAGATGTAGATTTCTAGCCTTTTCTCGAGTTGACACGTTTTAGGATGGTGGCTAGACGATCTTGCTCCAGCTTCACAAGAGTTCACAAGTTTTACCAGAGTGAGATTTGTAAACCGGAACTAGGGAAGCAATGATAGTACAAAATGCCCCCCTCCCGTCGACAAACAGCGCCCAAGCATTGTATGTAGCATCATGTTCGAGCATCAAGAATCAAAAGCTGTAAGCTATTCAAAAACACTGACAGGACTTTCTTTCCAGCCTAATAAAAAAGCGTCTACCTCACGGTAAAGCATAACCATCTATAGAATTCATCCCTTTTCTATAACCGCAACCCTTGATACTTCAACATTGCAGAGTCGAGGAGCTATGCTAATCTGCCATTGGTATGATCATTGCCTCCAACAACATATAACGTTGAATATTCTGACGAAGTTTTTGTGATTACACAAAGAGGTAACGATTTCCGAATTGCGGTTCCAAACTAAAAATGCTAGATATTCAGTCTTAACTGAGCTCTGGAAAGAAAAATCAACGCTTCTCTGCACCTAAACTCCCGGGAAAAGAAGCTCACTATCAGCTATGAACAGTAAGTGGCACTGACCCAGTGCTCATCGGATATTTGGCGAGAATCGGTGGCATGGGTATGTTAGCGTGCACCTCTTGACGATTGATGAACGTTGTTTTCGACCTTAAAAAGTAGAGTAAGCACCCAGCCAGTAGAAATAGCAGTACATTTCGAAAGCGGTTCTGTGGATCCTATAACCAAGAAGGGATTAAAGCAAGGAGCTACCTCGAGAAGAACCTTGCATCGGATTTTTCTTCTTTTCTAGGCAGCGCAGATTCGCTTCTGGGACCGGATTTCGATACAGGAGAACGACTCGGTACCTGAAGGAAATCTAGCTTTACAATTTTCTTTAGAAGAATCTACGAGACATTTTGGCAACAACTTATCCACAGATCACCACGTCTTCCCGAGAGGAATTCTTCAAAATCACCCTTTGAGCCGGGTCTTTATTCCGTTTTGTTGTAATGGCTGTCATTCATCGCCTCATTTCGTGATACGAGGCGTTATTCACAACAATCAGCGGCTTGAGGAAAAGCTTGCCCTGGCTAAGACTTTGATCCGGCGGACCTCAGGCTTGCCGTTCTCTCGTAAGCTGCATCTATTGACGGAGCGAAGGCCACCATCAACCACTGCGTGTAGTTCGCAGGGTAATGTCGTATCGAGTGCGGCCTAAATGATGGGTGAGTCGTGATCACTGTGCGGGTAGGGCAGCATGGAGATCGCAGGTCGAGTCGTGGCCTGGAGCTCAAGGCCTCATTCTGGCACTTCAGCAGCCTTCTTGGGTAACATTCGCGTACCCACCGAAATGGGGGGGGGACGTCGATAAACAGTCTGTTATTAACATATGCTTGCTGGTGATATCGCCTTTATTGCCGTCGCTTATGCTTTGGGTGGCGAACAAAGAATCACGTATCTCGATGAAGAGGAATTTCTCAGATTTTCCGGTATGTCGTGAACAGCAAGAGGCCCCCGAAAGAAAAAGGAAGAGGGAACCAAGACTCCTGGATCAATTCAAATTCGCAAGAGATACGGTAGAGATAAGGTTTGCAAAAGGAGGCAAGGGAAGGCTTTGCAAAAGACCTCTCGAAACGAGAAGCGAATTGTCACAGAGAACGCGGATTGAAAAAGAGAGATGATGAACGCGAGTCGCCAAGCAGGAGAAAAGAACTGTCAGGGCGCGGGGTCGGCTTGCACGGGCATTTTGCGTGTTGACACCCGAGCACTCGGCTGGCCGCCCTCTAAAGAGATCTGTGAATTACCGGTAAAACTAAACAAGAGGTCAGGCGGACTTCGTTTTATAGCCGCACAGAGCGGTGGCAGCGTCACCCATGCGAGACGTGCAGTTTAAGAACAGCTAAAGAACCCACGAAGTGCAACAATATCCCTCCTGCAAGCTAACCGGCGACGTGCAAATGCTATTGCTATAGTGCATATTGGATGTTGAATGGAGGAAAAGATATACTAGTACTTTTTTAGTGTAATTTGTTTGGGAAGCTGACAGCTTACAGTCACTGGAAAATATCCAGACTTACGACATGTATAGGAGACGGTCCCTTCACTTTTTGAAAACTCAGTATTTTGTAGGCTGACATGAAAAAAAAATAATACTATAATACCTCATTCTCAAATGAGCTGATCTGCTTGGGAGCATCAGGTTTAGTTGGAGATGCGACACGCGAAGTGTGTTCACTAAATTACGAACGTTCAGAGACTTTTATCTTATCTCGCCGACTATTTCTATAGCTGAAGGAAGAAGTAGCTCCAGGGCATGGCATATACAGTCTAGTTCGCTGTGGACGAGGGCGCGTGTCAGGCGGGATGAGTTTGGCGCGGCCAAACCCGTTCTCCACCAGTTGTTACTGCGAGCAAGTGACAAGACTGTATCATATCGTTCGTATCACTCGTTTTCTACCAACTGTTGTCACATACCCGCTTCAGCAACTGGCAGATAACGGGTTTCGCTGCGGCACACTCACACTGTCTGTCCGCAGCGAGCCAGAGTAAAAGCAAAGCTAAAGTTCACATTAATCATCAGGTTCTCCGTGAGCCTTAGGAGTCGATGAAGGATAAAGTCTCCACCATTGAACAATTCCTTCTAGGATGCGGCAAGCACTCTACTTCCCATTCAGAATCATAGTGACTTAGTGAGTGCGATGTGACCTTTACAATGCTTTGCAGAGGCCAGCTTCCGGACGAGTCTGGCACTATTACCGTCCCCAGGAGGTAGGTTTGATGGCTTGGTAGATCATCTGGGATTCTGGGACCGCGTGAGTGGTAAGCGCGCCGCCACTTGCCACTGCACCACCTCCACCAGAATTTGTTACAGATTTCTATGTAGCTAACCTTTCAGCAATAATAGCCATCATAGGGTCCAGGCGAGTTGTTTTAATGAAATCTGGCTTTAAAATCACCGAAAAAGGAGATTATTGTAGGACGGTTACCCGAATGAAAACCTCTACCACCTACGGGAGATGCATCCGGTTTTTTAAATTACTGTCCTAATAACGCATAAGACACCCCATATAATAAATTTGATGCAACACCGAATCAATGAATAGCCGCTCGTGAACAGCAGCAAAGAAACAGCAGTCCCTTAGGACGCGTTTATACTCTGCGGCAGCGTACACCAGCGACCAGGAGTACGGTACTGAGCAGCAGTACGGTGCGGTTGCCCACCCACAATTGCAGGACGCCTAATGCAGCTGTCTCCTCACTCCTACTTCTCCAAAGTCTACCAGCGGTCTCTTACCCATCTACTTCCCCACACTCTATCTCCTCCTGGGCTGGTAGACGCTGCCACTCGCTAGATCAATATCTATATTTTCCTAGGCGCTGACGCTGGTGGACGCTCCTGCAAAGTATGAGGGCAACCTTATCGAAAAAAGTGGAGGAATGATTGGGGAAATTCAGCGAAATATCGGCTGACTCTACGAAAAAGTAACGAAAATTAAAAAGAAAATGAAGCAGTTACCTGAGGATGGGCGGACACACTTCATCGTCACCTGAAACAAGAGAATTCAAAATATGTAAAGAAATATGTGAACAGGACGGGTCTGTTAAGTAATGCTGAGATAAAAAAAGCTTGGATTGATTCCCTATACAATTTTTTCCGAAAGCTGGTAAGCTTCACAGAAACACTGCGGTCAAAGTTGAGAAATAACCATCCCAAAAAGGTTGCATTATCGGACCCAGCAAATGGTCCCTTCCACTCAACTGAGGGCAGCCTTCTGATAATGTGGGCCAGCGCTTGATTTATTGAGCTCTCAAAAACTAGAAATGAAAGTATTATGGGAAGGGGTCAAAAAGATATCTTCTTGACAGAAGCAAGCGCAACTATTAACCTGCTGCTGACATAACTGCGGACAGATAAAAACGAAGGCAAAACTTTCCAAGAAGCGCAGAGAATAGAAAAATCCTAGAAAACAGGTGTAGTTTGAGAATATGAGATGAAGAGCGAAAGCAGTCAAAAATGAGGAGGTGATGATATAAAAGTAGATTGACCGACTCCATGGCGTGATCAAACGAAGGGAAGTGAAAACCCTGAAAAAAAAGAAGAAAAAAGTTTCAAGCATACATCGTCGTCGTTTCGCCTGAGGCGGTTCGCATTCATCAAGGCCGACGCCAAAGTCTTCCAGCGTTGGTATGTCGTCCAGTTCTCGGAAAAACTGCAAAATTTCAGAAAAATGATTTGTCCTGAAAATATCAGAGAAGGACGAGGGAAAGGGCTGTCAAACCTTACAATGTGCGATTTGGAATTACCATTGCAAAATTACAAATTACAGAATTGCAAAAAATTGGGTATTTTTTTGCTATCGAAGTAAAGCCGCCTTGGCCGTTTCATACTTACCATTTCACTTTAATCGGACACTTTTCAACCAAATCGGACACTTTTCAAACCAAATCGGACACTTTTTAAACCAAATGGGAGCTTTTCAAACCAAATCGACACTTTTCAAAATCAAATCGGACACACCCTTACAATTAGGTGGTTGATAACTAGACCACACTAGGTACTGTTGCAAGCCCGCCCCATTATCCCCGCCCACTTCTCAGCAGACAGGGTTTTCCGAGATGCTTCATGAAATCTGCTCCCTCGACTTTTTTTCGTTTTTGCCCTTTGCACACACACTTCAACTGGAAAAGGTTGATACCTACACAGATCTGACTCGCACATTAACAATGAAGTTACGTAAGTCCTGAATTTTTATAACTTTTTTCGACGTAGTTCTTTTCACATCCAATCTTCACAAACGAATAACCATGCACAGCACACCGGCCGAGCCCTCTGGCAACCGCCACTTGTGTTAATATCGCGGAATTTTGCTTATTTCTTTCCGGATTTCGCTTTTAGGCTTTGAGCGGAATTGCTCGCCACCAATGGAGCTCGGCGCCATTGGGGAGCCCGCTCACTTTTTCGAAATTGATGCAATTCGCGGGCTAGTGCCACTGGCGGCATTAACGCCCGGGGTCCGATCGCTCAGAACAAAGTTCCCTTTTCCGGTTTTTCCGTTTTCCCCTTTCTTTTTTTTTGTTCTATTGCGCGGCAGAGAGGCCCGTAATCGCCGGTTGGACACTTAGCCGCCGATTGCATCATTTTCGAAAAGTGGGCGGGGCTTCCCAAAGTGGGCGGAGCTTCCATTGGTGGGCGGAGCCAATCGCTAAAGCCTAAAAAAGCGAAAATCCGGAAGAAAAAGCAAAAATTCCGCGATAAACACAAGTGGCGGAGGTCCAGAGGCAGGGGGCTTGGGATCGTGACTGTGCTATGGTTATTCGTTTGTGACAGATTGGATGTAGAAGAAATACGTCGAAACAACCCTGTTATAAAATCAGAACTTTACGTAACTCTTCTTTAGTGCGGCGGAGTCAGACCTTAGGTAAGTCACCTTTCCAGTTGAAGTGCTAGTGTGCAATAGGCCAAAACGAAGAAAAGCCGACCGGAGCAGATTTCATGAGCATCTCGGAAAACCGTGCCGCGCCTGCAGAAGGTAGGGCGGGGATAATGAGGCGGGGCTAATGCAACGAGTTACCTAGCGTGAGTCTATTACCAAACAACCTAACTGTTAGGGCGGGGTGTGTCCGATTTGGTTTGAAAAGTGTCCGATTTGGTTTGAAAAGTGTCCGATTTGATTTGAAAAGTGTCCGATTTGATTTGAAAAGTGTCCGATTTGATTTGAAAGTGTCCGATTTCGGTCTTGAAAAAGTCTCCGATTTAGAGTGAAATGCGATATAAAATCGCCCTTCGCTCATATTTTACGTCGCAAATGAAGCAGTACGAGCACCAGGTACAGTCGTCCATTTGTGAACGGGCGGGCGCGGTGGGTGTCCGGGTCGGTATGTCGCAGCTTGATAGGGCCTTATAGGGTACCTTCCTTGAAAAAGGCATTACGCAGCGCCTGCTCAGGGGCGCTGAATTACGTCCTGCCAGTCGTGTTAATACCACTCGTCTCAGATTTATCGAGCTAGCTGCCTTTCAATTCATGGTGAACAATTCGTGAACCATACGATGCATAAAAAGCGACGTTGTGTAAAAAGCTAGGCAGCTGGCGTCTTCCAGAAACGACAGTCTCTAGCAAACTACGCATCGGTGACTCAGTCCAAAAGCACGCAACTGCTACGAGCTGAAACCTCTCGCGACAATGGATACACGGGATCCTCATGAGGGATCACCAGCCCATAAATATTTTACCTAAGTGCTCGGTATACCTTGTACCCTGTGTAGCATAAAATTGGCCACATAGTTTCTGCGGGCCTGAGCTGTAAATACTCACTTTCGAAAAACTACCGCCCAGCTTGTAAGAATGCAAAGGAGAACGGAAGCCCGTTAGTGTGCCGCACGGACTGACCTTGGACGCATGGCAGTCGGGGGAGTTCTTCGCTTCTGACATGACAGTTGTGGGGTATTCTCCGCTTCTACAAGAATGAACTGTTTTCGAGCCGGTCAAGCTGTTGAAATTTGGATCCCTTCTTGAAAGGAATGCTCGAAATAAAAAGGTTTTTCATGAGGGAAGACATGAAAAAAAGCTGTTTGAAGGTTTGCGGAACGTGGGCCAGTTCCTAGAAGAATATCGACTGTCCAATGGTTCATCTTGGGTATAAAACCCTTGAAAAGTCAAGGAATAGGTTCAGCCGATAAAAACGAAAACGGAAAAATATGTGCTCCTGATTCCAACAGTCATTGTCCCCTTCCCCTCTGCAGCCTTTTTCTTGAAAAATACTTGTCAAGAATATGCTGT